TGTGCTTATCTTGATCCGTACGACAACCCGAAAAGTTTTGTTGTCCAAATCACCAAGCTGAACCGTAATAGAGGGCACCACTTGCATGTTTCCGGGTATCCGCCCTTCAGGCTGTAAACAAGGCGACGTAGGATCACACGGAAGATTTTGGGCTTTCGGCACCCACACGTTAGACTGGTGACTAAATTCCGATTTTTGGAGGCATTTAACACCACACTTAATGATGAGGATGTCGAATGGCTTTGGAAAGCAGCAGCCAAGAGAGCAGGTAGATGTTGGTGATTGTGACTTGATGACAAACCAATAAACAATACGGTCCATTTCGAAATAGAATGATCACGCTATGCTTTCGACCGAAGAAAACATACAGAGAAGCCACATTTGAGGCAAGATCAAAGTACGGGAACTGATCAGTCGTTAGCTCCACGCCCTAGACTCAGCTGCATCATTGGTAGTATATGGTACACCGAAACATTAGCGTTGAGTCCCCTTGATGTAGCCAACATCCACAAAAGCATAAATAAACCTTGTTCCTCAGGATTCAAGCAAATATACATAGCTGGATGGGGCAAACGGTGGTAAAAAACAGCTTTTGAAAAGGTTTTTCTCGTATTAAGCTACTTTTTTCGAGTCAAGATTAGTCACTTGGACCCGAATACACAAGTATTATGTTGTCGAAATTAAAGTTTACCATATAATTTTGTCCAGTGTTATCTGGCTAGAATGGTATATCAGAGCTATAGTTTCTATGGCACTCAGTTCATATATATCATTAAATAATCAATCAAATAGTGTGAACTTTAGCACGTGACCCTTTCAAACTGCCTCTCCCATTTCTTTTCGATGGCTTTCGTCATCACTGATTTCACAGCCCCATCTTCCCATCCGAAGGTGAACCTGTAGCCAGTTATTGCAAGTACTTATCCTACCAGAAAATTTCCAAGATAACTTATGGAGACTCTTAGAATTGTTACTTTAGGTGAGTTGTCTGCCAGAAGTCAGTTTTGGTGGAGCAGGGCTGTAGTCTGCACGAAAACAGGATGCTTGTCACCTCTAAACTTCACGGAAATCTGCAGGGTTGGTCAGTCACTGGGCCAAAGCCCGTTGGACTAACGCATGCTATCTAGAATTTCGTGAAGCTGAACTTCAATTCTCTTAGAAAATTTCGGCATCAAAGGAATAAGAATATACTCATGGTTGCATATTTGATTCCTGAGCTAGGCTATTCAGCTGCAAACGGTTTATGGTTGATCGCGCATTATCAGTGCGTTGCGCAGCAAAACGGCATTTCAGCGGCCTTTCTCTGCACGAGTAGACACACATAATTATAAGCGAATAGAGGTGCACCAGGTGTTGTAAAAGCTCGAGCAAGTAGTGTAGAGACTCTTAGGACTGATTAAAAAGACCAGAAAAGTAGAGTAAAGCAGGGATTGATGCACCACTCTTTGCATCACCCTTCAAGCTGTACCCTTGAATCTTGGTTGACTCAAAAAATTTGTCATTTACTCCGCCTACCGGTTTTGAACAGAAAGAACACTACCATTCACTTCTTTATTTGAGTTCTGCCATTGAAAATACGTCTTAGCGCAACCTGTTAGGTTTTGTTCAAAGGCTTGTTCCATCTTCCCGTTGGCCGTTCTTTGTTGAAGAAAATTCGGCTCAAATGCCCCGACTTTTTCTCTTCCATCCTTGTGGGAATATGTTGCAATACTACATTTTTTATTCATATTAGCGGACATTGCGGTAAAAACTTAACTTCACCCGGTAAATACTTGGATTACAAACGCAACGTTACCAGGCAGTTCTTTTTACTGCTTTTACGAAAAGACTATCTGCCAGCTGTTCACTCACCTTACTTCTCAGTCAGAAAATTACTGAATTCCTAATCATTGCGGTGAATACCGAAACTGTCGCAGAAACAGCGACAAGTGGTTCAGGTTCTTCGTAGAGTTATCTTTCCCTGGATCGGTATGACTTACATTGTGATTGTCTCATTGTCGATTTTCTTGAGTTGGTAGGGTAATTTAATTAGTAGCTGTCTCAGTCGTCAATCCGGTGGTAATCATGGCTACTCGGAAAACGTTTTAGTTTTCTAAAGTTTAGCTGTTACAGGGATGTACCTCAACTTTTTTCAGAAACATTCCCGTTCAGTGCGTTTTTCCTGCCGTTCAGCCTTGGATTGATACCGGACCAGAATACAAATACGTTCTGTGATGTCCCACAAGTCAGCTAGTTTTTCGCCTACTGTGCTCTGCTGACTCCGATTTCGCTTTTTTAATTTACAAGCAAAACGGTATCACCTGAGGGGTGATAGTGCAATACAGATGTTTGATAGCAATGGCCTACAAACAGCATAGCCCGTCTTTTATACTGCCGACAGAAGGTCACAATGCATATTACCAAGTAATGCCAAGGCATGTTTCACCTCACGACCGTAAGGATATCTCTAGTTGTCAGTGAGTAAATGCTAAGCGACATCCACAGTGAAATATGTGCGGCGCTTGTCGTCTAAACATTCTCCCCGATGAAGTCAGTCTGGACACGGATTTGCTCTGCTTTTTTTTACAGAGCAGTCGATCCTTCTTTTTTTAGAACAAGCTGTGAAAGTAGCAGAGTTGCTTTCCACCACGGCGTTACAAATTTGGAAAATGTATTTCCTCTCTCAGACGAAAGAATATACTCATGCCGTACGTGTCCGATGCACAAAAAATGAACTTTTGTGCTGAATTGACCGAAATTGCGTCACTCGTTTTGCATACAATCCCATCTCGTTTCAATCAACTTAAAAGAGGCCTTTTTCCTACATTCATTTTGGTGACTACAGGTAATCACTTCAGAAGATCTATGCAGAGACATGTCGGTAGATTGGTGGCAGACTGGATAGGACCACGAACTTGCATCTTCGAGACTGTGCTTCGATACCTATTTGGTGACTGTCATACTGTTTGCCGCTCCCAGTCCTGATGCTCTTTATACTTAAAAACTCTTCCAAAAACTTTGATATAGAAAGTTAACAGGGGTGAAGTTGACAGCGTTGGCTACTGCCATTTTACTTGTTTGCCCATGAGCATGCATTATTTTTTGTGGATAATAATGAGGCAGCATGACTTCCAAATACCGCAACCCAAACGTTACCTGCCAGAAGAGGGTAACTTGCTGTACCATCCATGCTGGACATCCCGACTGGCCTGAATCAGCTCTCGTCTGACAACTGGACATGCTACTCATTTAGGCTCAAAAGCCTTTTATCACAAAGAATGAAAAAAAAGAATGAAAAAGAATGAAATGAAATGAAATAAGGAAGCCTAATTAACCTGTGTAAATCGGAACAAAAAGGACCCGAAACAACTTGAAATAAACATCCATTTTTTCCATTCCATTGACTTTTTTGGTATGTTTTTTCATCCAAGTCAAGAAGCTCCTCACGTCTCGGAAGACAGTAAAACGCAATCGAGCGACGTCAGCATCTGAGACGCACTCACAGTGACCAAAACACCAATTCACACATGGAGTCCCGAACAACAGAATTCCTGTAATTGATCAAGAATCCTGAACGGGGTGAAAGCTGAACTAAACCCACTATGCAGAGGATCCATGTGGAATTTGTTGGCCAGTGATAGTGTTCACAAACTCGTTTGCGTTTTCGTTATAACTTACATTTTCCAGAAAAATCATTAATGGTATAAAACATTTTGTGCTCTATAAATAACTTCCATTTAATGCTAAGAGATTCGGGATATTTTTTAAACCTATCGGTACAGTTGCCATTAGCAATGGTGCTCTTTTAGTTTGTTTCTCTGATTCACCATCATGGGAAACAAAATGGTCTCCCTCTCATCGGGTACTCAGTTAGCGTTGATGAGATTTAAACAGGCGTCAGATAAATCTCTCACGTCCTTCAACTAAGGGTACACTGTAAGAGTTCGTTTGGTAAGATGTCAGAAAATAATGATTACAGTTTGGACATCACACCGATTAGACGGGCCCTAATCAGAAAGGAATTAGCGGCGCACTTTAGGAGAGTTTGTGTCTGCCTTATTAAAAAGAGGGGACCTCTGGATACTTTTTGTTCGTTCGCTTAAAATATGCTCAGATTAAAAAACGTGTTCTTTCCTTACGGCGTTTTTGGTTTTAAAAGTTCTAGACTTTTTGGTAGGTTTTTTCATCCAAGTCAAGAAGCTCCTCACGTCTCGGAAGACAGTAAAACGCAATCGAGCGACGTCAGCATCTGAGACGCACTCACAGTGACCAAAACACCAATTCACACATGGAGTCCCGAACAACAGAATTCCTGTAATTGATCAAGAATCCTGAACGGGGTGAAAGCTGAACTAAACCCACTATGCAGAGGATCCATGTGGAATTTGTTGGCCAGTGATAGTGTTCACAAACTCGTTTGCGCTTTCGTTATAACTTACATTTTCCAGAAAAATCATTAATGGTATAAAACATTTTGTGCTCTATAAATAACTTCCATTTAATGCTAAGAGATTCGGGATATTTTTTAAACCTATCGGTACAGTTGCCATTAGCAATGGTGCTCTTTTAGTTTGTTTCTCTGATTCACCATCATGGGAAACAAAATGGTCTCCCTCTCATCGGGTACTCAGTTAGCGTTGATGAGATTTAAACAGGCGTCAGATAAATCTCTCACGTCCTTCAACTAAGGGTACACTGTAAGAGTTCGTTTGGTAAGATGTCAGAAAATAATGATTACAGTTTGGACATCACACCGATTAGACGGGCCCTAATCAGAAAGGAATTAGCGGCGCACTTTAGGAGAGTTTGTGTCTGCCTTATTAAAAAGAGGGGACCTCTGGATACTTTTTGTTCGTTCGCTTAAAATATGCTCAGATTAAAAAACATGTTCTTTCCTTACGGCGTTTTTGGTTTTAAAAGTTTCCATGTAATACTCTGATCTACCTTTATATGCCGCCAATCTGTTTCCCCCGAAGAATGCCAACTGGTTTGAACAGTACACTTGGGCTCTATTCAAGGCAATGTCCCACATGCTATCGATCGGCTATGGCCGATATCCACCGACCAGCATCACAGAGGCTTGGATCACGTTAGTAAGCATGGTGACGGGTGCAACAGGCTACGCACTGTTTGTTGGTCATGCCGCTGCCCTCATACAGTCGTTCGACTGTTCCAAACGGCTATACAGAGAGAAGGTAAGCTACCCAACGCCTTCGTGAAGCATTAGGCTGGTATGCTGTCACATGCATGCATCCTGAATGAGTTTTAGGTACGTTTAGGTCTCTCTGTTATTGTAGGATGTCTGAAACATCTGGATTTCTTATTGGTGACAGATGTAACCAGATGAGGCGCTTTTGATGAATTCTATGTGTTTTCAGTGTTACTAGAAAACAACCTTCTATCCAGACAGGTTGAAACGCACGTGCCTTTGCGTGCTGTTACAAAAACGAACGAAATGAGACAAACAAGGCTTTCCTTCTGGATTGAATTCGATATTCTGTTTAAATCGGGCAGATTAATCATAACTCGACTACAGCAGAATTGCCAAATACAGCAACATGTTGAATAACAAAGATGTCGGCAGACAAAATTGCGTTTTTATTTTTCTTGTGTGTTCAACAAGCTTCGTACCAATCTCGTTTCTTCCCGTTCACATTCGCCGGGAAGTTCATCTCTTTTTTCTGTTCAGCAACTGTGGAGACGAATTACGATTATGTTTTGAATAACTTTAACTTTCAGAAACGAATTCAGCGTTGTAGCTGTATTGCTTGTGTGCTAATATAGCTTAAAGGAAGTAGTAGCGACAACGTTGCTATGAGTAACATTTCACTCTGCCCGCACAGCACCTTACTGCACAATGAATTCTCGACTTGTCCCTTGAACATGAGCGCAGTTCATATTTTTGCTTAAGCTGTGGTGGTAGGTATCTGACAGCTCTTCACTCAAAACCGGCACTAGACTCTTTTCTCATTTGTTCTAACCACCACATCTACAGCTACAATCGGATGACCGAATTTTGTGAGCCGCTTTAGCGTCGTACACAAAACTGATTAACTTTCATCCTCATCCACCTCAAATTTATTGGACAGAGTAACTCCTGAGTAACTTTTGAGTACTTTCACTAGAGATCGAACCTTGCATTGGAACTTTGTGCACCAAGAACTGGTCCAGAAGTAGGCAATAAGGATAACCGCTCAGTTATTTTTTTTGTTATGGTACAGAAAAACCATAATCGACGTGGTTAACCACAGCTCCATGTTTCAGTGAATAACTTAATCACATTTACGCGTGAAATCCGTCAAACTAACCAACGATTCCTGATTTCGCATCAAGATGGTCATAGTGTGCTACATATACAAGAGGATGGCGATCATTTATCACATTTATTCACCAGGATAAAGGGGAATCCACGACAAATGGATGAAAAGTGCGCATCAAGGAGTAAAATAACCTACTGTGGAACACTGTCCTCCCACTCAGACAAACACCCCAACTAAATCGGGGCATATGTAGCTTGTTTAACTTGCATCAATTAATCAGTTTGATCAGGCGCAGGAATTGCACAAATTTGGTGGCGAAATAACCAAAGTTGAAATGCGTTTGAGACAAAGGTGGGATATTAGATTTCCGCTTCGTTTTTTCCCACCAAATTATTAATAAACCTCCGCCTCCCATCATTTGGTTGAACGGAAATATGAATTTCTCGTATTGTATCAGGTAGGTCTGTTCGCAGTTCTACTACTCAAGAAACCAAGGGATCGGTTGATAAGTCAGCAAAAAAAACAACTAATTATGGCGAAAAGAATCTGTTGTAAAAATCCAAATTTGAATCTAAAATTTTCTGGTGGCAGTGTATTGAATAAGTCCAACAAAACCCCTCACTGTCACAATTCCAGTACCCCCACCGAAATAGTCATAAGTGGCAGTAGCATTAACCAATGGATGCTGGACTGACACCGTTGTATACCACTTGTGAATTCGAAGCTGGTCCGCCATTTCGATATGTCTAATCAATCTGGATAAAATGATAGAGCCGAATTACGGTTCATCGCCATCCCAACGCACGATTATTCCTCAGCTACGATTAATGTTTCGACGAGTTCAAGCCTTGAAGAGGCCTCATGTCGAGAACAAAAGTATATGTCCGCAAACACAGCAGCTTGTGTTCACAAAAGAGTAGGTTTTCAATAATTATGGACTAGTTTAAGGGTGACAAACTCTGCAACCTTAGGTGACTTGCCTTTATCTATCTTCTACTCAAAAACCAGCAAAATCTTTTCAGCAAGATTGAGGCTCGTTTTATGTTATCCGCAGCACACAAAACCTAAACTCTCTCCGGAAATTTTCTCGTTCAACTAGGTCCTGACATAAAGGCCCCATTCCCAGTCGCTCAAACTCTAGACAAAAATTCATGCTGTTTTTATTATCGGGTTCAGCCGGAAAAGACAATTAGCCCTAAAAATTTTATGTTTACGGTATCCGAAAAGGTGTTTATTCCTGTAATTCCATTAGTGTGTTACAAGGTGTGAATAATGTCGAGACAGCCATGATGTGACCGTAACTAATTAAATGCAAGTAATCTAGAAGACGCATTAAACAAAGTATGCCTATTTGAGGATAATGCTCACGCGTGTGTACTGTTTGTATGAAAAGAGGCTAATCCTTCCAACTATAGAAGGAACATATGACTCATGTTTGGCGTCAGCGAGTATGATGTTATGTAATAACAGTGGCGGAATAAAGTTGTCTGAATACAAATCGCATTTGGTTTCCAAAGATGTGTTTCCACTCAGTTGCAGCACGCACGCTCATGAACCAGAATGGTCAAATGACAAGACAGCCTTGCGCGGTTTTCTAGGTTTCATCGAAGAATATCCGTGGATGATTCCCGCTGATATCAGCACTTCTGAAATATCACATTGGCGAAACTGGCACAAGGGAAGGAAGTTCCAGCTAGTACTTATCTAATCATTTCAGCAATGCAACCCATTTATGGCACTAAGATTTCACGGATGAGGTCTTTTCCGATGTGACAGAGGTAAACTAACGTATGGCGAAATACAACCGCTTGTGCTGACGTTAGGCTCAGCTGGATTTACCGTTTTTCTACTCTCCGTTTTTAACTTTGAAGCAGCAGACCAAAAAGAATTAATTTACAGCAGCAGAACCAGTAAAACCATAAGAAGCACTAGCCAGGCTTTGGACCGATAAGGCATGCTTTTCTACGTTCGAAGCAGCAGACCAAAGAAAATTAGTTTACAGCAGCAGAAACAGTAAAACCATAAGAAGCACTAGGCAGGCTCTGGACCGATAAGGCATGCTTTTCTACGTTCAGAACTAGTCGCTGGTACATATCGACGGTTTGATACTGACCAACCGGCATGATTTGATCAAAAGGCAGCAGTTTCAGTTTGACATTTTGGAGTAAAACTCCGAAATTCGGCCCGTTTTTCTCCGATTGATTAAACAGTCAGCTGACTCATGTAAGGAAGCAATTGCTACGGGGCAGACTCATATAAGACTGGGTCTCTTCTGCTTATGTCGGTTACAGGATAAATGCGGGTGAATTAATCTCTCACATGTGGGGCAGAGAACTGAGGTGCTTTCTTTGTTGAATCTTCCACGATACCGACGGACTCAATCATGTACCTGGATAAATGCGAACAATCACGACACTGAGTTTGTCTTTTGGCTGCAGCTGTTTTGTCGCTCTTAAACTGTGGTCGTTTTAAGAAACTCGCTTTCTTCCTGGCCGTGCAAATTCACGTTCCCCTCTAGGGGCGACGGCAAACGAATTCGCGCAGCCGCTGGATAGTAGTGAAAAGTTATTCACAGCAGAGATATTGGTTGGAAAACACCAAATAAACAGTTACAGACTATTGGACAGAGAAGCAAAACTCTCATATGCATCTTGTTTATAACAACTGTGTATGTGTCCTCTTTTCAAACAGGTCTTCCTGAACTTTCCTGATTACTCACTAACTAAAACTCAAACGTGAAAGAATGCTACAAAGCGATTCCACAAATTCCATAATAAATCTCACTTTTCAATTAACGCGAAGCGGACATATGTGAAATCCACATACTACTCGCATGCTTCATCAGTAGTATCCACCGTTACGATAGTATTAGTAAAATTGCTGCAAAACTTTGAACTCCTAGAAACTCGCGGCGGCAGTTGTGTCTGGCATGTGTAGACGGGAGTAGACGGGCAATTCTCGAGTAATAGCTGATCTTTTCGTGCTGAAACTATGCACATATACGATACTTCCAAGTACACAAATAGCGAAATCTTTGACAGTTCAGGTTAATTAAAGTATCTTTCGGATAAAGTGTGGAAAATATTTGCAAAGGAATGTCATGAGATAGTTACCATTGGCCTATTTCCAAAAGATAACAGGAAAGCAGGTTCTTCTACCATTGTCATGCAAATCATGTGATTTACACACTTCCTTCTCGAAATCAGATTGGATAATTTTCGTTCATAAAAAGAGCAGTCTTCTAATATCAGCTAGCATGGTGCATAAAGTCCGGTGCCATAAGGCCAGTGCTTAGCTGCCATGCCAATTGAAGGAAGCACAAGGGATGGGATACTCCCAGGTTGCCTAAGCCTAGACAGCGGAAGTCGAGAGGCAGAGTTCGGGTTCTACCCACGGACCTTCCGGTCAGAAAATCCGCTCTCTTATCACTGACCCAAATCGCCCCCTCTCTCGCGTCAGTAAAACCAGTGCGAATGAACCGATTCAACTCAGTTTGAATTGCCGCTGGAAATGACGACAAAGTTGGGCATATTATATTGAGGTGGCTAAACTAACATCGTTGTATTCGGTGAGAGGCACTGAATGATAATACTGGGCCATCTGGCTGGCTTTTTTGTTCGTTGTGGCACTGTTGTGGGATGAAAAATACGTGGCGTCCCACGCTTTTTTATGCCAGCATCTCAAGCGCATTACTGCGATCATTTGCTACAAATATGGTGTCTACCTATGAAATATTCATATACTCGCAAACTTTGCCCACTGGATGGTTTGTTGTACAAAGTGTCAGGCGATTCGGTAAACAGTTTCGTAAGTTTAACCGCATTAGATTCAGTGTTTGTGAAAAGTTGACCGAGGCAACTGGGATCCGACGTACAGAAGTAGGTGTTTAAATAAAGAATTATTTTAGATTGGGCTACCAGGAACGGAGGGGAAACAGTCTGATATAGCGGAAGTCGGTAAATCAAAAGTGAATTGCATGTGCTCAGAGCCGCACAAGGTTGCGTTTCTGATAGAAACGCTCTCTTTTATTACAATGAGTATCTCTCGGTCCAAGGTTTATCTCGGTGAGGGAGTCCGCAGTTTTGTACAATACCGCAATGCTACTCGAGACAGGTTAGCTATTTAGAGAAGTCCGGCATAGTTTGTATTTGCAATATGACCTCGGTGAGCGTCCAATCGAAATTCCACCGTGATTGCAGTGCAGGATAGTCACCACACCTAGACATACTGAACCCAGTCGTGTAGCTTATTAGTTGGTACCAGAAATGCACACACTGTAGGAAAAACATCAAACCTAAAAATTACACCTGAATTCTCCGACTCTGTATAATTAAAAAGCCTTCTACTGATACGTCAAAATGCTGGGAACTAGCAGGACATATATGCCAAACAACCTGACCACCATTAGGCAACGGTATTCTCACGGGCCATTTAATAGAAAGTTTTTAGAAAACGAGAATTTGCCACCCAGGAAGATGGGCTTCTGACCAGTCCACAATACTGTCCAAACACCGCTCTATTCGAAAAGAAGGTGTTCCATATATTGCTACATTCGTTGCGTGATTCTAGTTCACCAAGTTCATACTATTAAAAACGTCGAGCAAACGTGCTAAAAATTATTGCGTTTTGCTTTCACATCAGTCGGGCTCATAACTGCTGCTGACTGTGTATGATTGATTGCTGTTCCTCTCCGTTACAGTTTAAACAAGTGGATGAATATATGGCATTTCGGAAGCTACCTCGGGCTCTAAGACAAAGGATTGCTAGCTACTATGAACACCGATACCAGGGGAAAATGTTTAATGAAAACGAGATATTGAATGAATTATCGGAATGCCTGAAAGAAGTGAGTTATACAACTGTGATTTGATGTTCAACAATGTCCACCTTCAGACCTGATTGCGCCTTTGTGTTCTGGTCCATTGTACATAAAATATTGATTACTTTTCCCTCCCATTCAATGTGTCTAATCAACAAGTACTTACTTAGTCTCTTATAGTTTACCGGCTATCTCTAAATCTCCTTCGAAGCCGCTACCTTAATTACTCTTGCGAGATAGACTGAAATAGTCGTTCCAATGTTCATGAAATTTTCTAAACGATTCCTGGCAGTTTTTCGCTGCTAGTTAGGCAGTGGAATAGTTTCACTGTTTCATTTTCGTTTATGGTTAACTTTGGAGTGAACTTTGTTCTAATAAGGAACTCAGTGGTGCACACGAGTTAAAAGCTGTATCGTGTGCGTCATCAAGAAACAAGAACACGAAACACTCACCTGGTGCCACAAATCGACGCCACACACATTCAAACATTGTACTGCGTGCACATTCTGACAGGTTCCCAAACATGGTAGGATGAACAAGGGGGTTCCGCTGTGACCGAGCGATAGGGGGGTTGCTCTGATCACATAACAGTTGCAGTCAGGAATCTGGAACTTAAAGAGCACGATATAATCGCGCCCATCCTACAGCCAGAGGGATAGGAAACATGGGATAATTGTTTTCTAGGTCTTGCAAGAAGAAATGAGTTCGCCACCCTCGCACAGCAAAGCGAATAAAATATCGAAAATACAAGTTACTTTTGCGCCCGCTCCAATTTCCCCCGGAACACTGGCTGGCTCGAAATCGGATCAAAGAATCTGGATATCAATATTTTTTGGGTGGAACACTTGAAATGCAAATGAGTTTGTGCACTTACGTGAAATATAATTGGAACTGATTGGGTAATCATCATTTTCAAAAAAGTTTGGTGACAATCGGTAGATTTATTGCTGAGCAATGTTTCGATTTTTGACAAAAGTTTCGTCAGGCCAAGTGACTAGGTTCCGAGGTTGGTCGAGATTTAAGGCGGAAGAAGGACCAATCAGCTAAGTCAAGCTAAATCTCTTTTGGGTGTCGGCCGAGGGATTTTAGTGTGTTAGAATGGTTGAACAAGTGTTGGGTCGGTAGGGAAACCTACTTGTGTTTGGGTCCAGCCTAGGGTCTGGTTCTTCTGGCTTGGTTCATTTGATGGTTCCTCTTGAACTTCGTTTGGACCTTCTGTCAGTCTGTGTGGGTGAGCTTGTGCTGAGATAGTTGTGTATGAGGGATGCTGTGACCTTTGGTCGGTTGGGGTTTCCACCCCCATCTCCCGGTTTATTCTAAAGATCCTAAGTGGATTGACAACCATACCGTCACGTGTCAACTCGGCTTATCTAAGACCGCTTTCCGTACGCTCGCTAGCTCCACACCCTCGGTTCTATTCACGCTGTGATGCTTAGTAATTTCCACCGCCTCGGCAATCAGCCGCTGTGGTGTGAATCGCAGTCCCCGCCTCAAAAGCGAAATATTGCCCGGCAATATATTTACCGACTTTCACCAAACTTTTTCGGAAACGAGCTTGTGCACTGTTTCGTAATACCCATGGAGTAGGAGCTGTTGGGACTTACGTAGAATTTTCAGTTGAACTTGAATTGTAGTAGTAGTACCTTATCACTGACTGGAAAGGTGTAAGGAATGTTTCCATCTTCATTCAGTAGGCCTTGCAGATAAGCACCATTTTCCATAAATTTCACAAACTTCGGTGTTTCTGGTGGGCTTGTACCAAACTTCTCACGTTAATAAATAGTTGTTTACAAAAAATTTAGCACAATTTATAAAGGATGAACGAAACTGTTCAGCACAAGGTAATGACAAACAAACTATTGAAAAAAAGAAAATGAATATCACATGCCACTCAAAGTCTCAGCAAAGGCGGTGCGGGTACTAGAAAGGTAGCCCTGTATAAAATTGGAAAATATGGATTCTTCGAGATGTGAGGTAAGAATTACTTCCACGCACCAATTGTTCTAGGTAATATGAAGAGGACAGATCATCAGGTGGGCCGGGGAGTGACCTTGACCCGAGGTACAGAGCGCAACTCTCACCTCACTAATCCACATAGGCCAGGAAAATTTGTAAACAACACTCAAGAAGAATTAATCAAGCTATCTTTAGTCAGGAGACTTAGGCCCTGAACGCAACCCAAATTTATGCAACCCCCAATTGAACCCATCAGTCACAGGACTTTGTCGCCTGAGCTAAATTGATAAGAACTTTTAGCTATTGTTCACTACCGACTCACTCTGTTGGCTGAATGTGCTTTCGCTGACCGATTCTCCAGTAGCTCTCATGCTCGACCACCTGGCCTCACAAACTTTTGAACCAAAACAGGAGCTCCTGCTTGCAACAAATCTTCCGACTGTGAATGCAGTATATTATTACTACAGAGGAAGCAATGCACCATGCGCGGATGTGACTAAATGGGACCCGCCAGGATCGTCTATTTTCGAGAGAATGATCATTCTGGGCATCGACTGGTCGCATAAGCAGTAGATGTTGTAATGTCAGGAAGAACGGCTTGAGTTCTAACGTGATCTTCTGGTCTACGGTGGTAAACTTCCTGATACCTTCGCATAGAAAGAGATCCACAGGCGGTCGACTCTGAGCCACACATACTCTGCACGCAAGCACTCAAGACCAAAGAGACCGCACCTTACGCTTGACTGATAGTTTGTGTACCTCAGTAACCGACTGAACTGAAGGATGCTCATTCATTATATAAGAGCTTTTCTCCTCAGGTTGGTCAATGGATAGAGGCCTGACAAACACAGTCATTTGGCCCACCTGGTTGGAACAAATGTGGCAATTTATTCCCTAAAATTTGGGCTCCTCAGCTACACTCAAGCCAACCGTTACTGCCTTGCGTTCATTCTTTGGTTCCAAAGGCTTTGACTGAGGAGTTCAATTCAGAAGTCTGCTCGTATCCCAGCCCACAAACAACCACGAACCTTATAGATAAAATTACCTTCATGTCATTGGTCGCAGCTTGGTGTCACCAGCCGGGTTACCTTATATGTTACGCACGACTGAAGTTGAACATTCCTCATCCTGCTCTGGCGCAATTATCACACTAAAGGAGGGAAGCAGTAGACTTTAGTTTTGCTCTAGTTAGAACTCATAGGTGTGTATATGCATAATCGTACCGGATAACTGACAGGCGTCTTACCAATGCTTCGTCAGCGCACGATGGGCGCATCTGAATTGTTATGTCTGAACAGGAGGACGCATTCAAGCTTGAGCGATGTGACAGGTTTGCCAAACTTCTCAAACTAAGACCCAGAAACTTTCTTGATTGTGCCGACCGACTGACCAACCAGTCAGAACTTCCAAGAGGGGTGGCAACACTGACGTTTTGAAACCTGGTGGTTGCGGGGTCCAGTGATTCCGCCTTAGGGGTGGACCCACCGGAATAATTGCGCCGAGACAGAAGGACGACTTTTCAAACGATAGGGATTTGAAAATGAGTTCTACAAATTTTGCAGCCACCAACAACCCATGGAATCGATCGTCGCACGCCACCGCTCACGTCTACCACTCTGTATCCACCATTCCCCCCCCTTTCTTCCGTTTTTGTTACAGCCTTTAACGTGAAAACTCCAAAAGAGTTCAGCAAACAAGCTGGTTTGCGAGTACTCTAGCGAAACTGTCGACTGACTAGATTCATATCTGAGACACAAATAGAGGATTCAAGTATAGCTTTTGATCTTAGGCCATCCTCTCTATCTACACGCTGAAAACTACGAAATTCGGGTGACCCTAAAACTGCCGAAGCAGGTTACACCGGTTCATGATCCGAGGCTTCATTGCCTGACTGTATTCCTGTAAGCATTTGAATCTAAAACTTTCTGACTTTCTAGTTAGTTTAAAAACCCGCACTGACCGAATTAATGGACATGCTTTGTTTACTATGTCTAGCTGTGCGGCAACGAACTGTAGTTCCGAGCCATTGAGAGACACCTTCTACGGAGACCTGACCACACTCGTGTACAGCACGAGGAACTCCGATATAATCGTAATAGGAGGAGAGTTCAGTGCACACTTCTGATGTCTCAGTTCATCAGACGCACGCCTCGGTGGTATGTCAAGTCTGAACACAAAGCGCAAGAATGATAGTGAAAGTCACTCACAACCTTGTATTGGTTACCAGGTGAATCTCAGTAGTACGAAGTTTAGACGCACCATAGGCCGTTGTGCCACCTGGCTTCTCCCTACCACCGATAATCTCTGGGAGTGGTGTTGACCTTATCACCATCAGCTACCATTAGCGCCATAGCTTTTATTGGCGATCGTTATAGAATACACAATTCGATCCCGATAGTGCTTCCTCTCCGTTCAGATTTTCATTAAAACTACCCAATGAATTCCAGAAACGACATCCTCATTTAGCAGCGGCAAAGCTTTGAAAGTTATCGAAGATTTCCAGAACTTACTACGCAGTGCAGTAGAAGCGACCTCCCCCGAGGGTACTGACCATAAATGAGATGAGATAACCACTGCTATACGTGATTCCGGGAACTCTGCTATTGGCGCTCCCAATGGCGTACACGGATGCCACTGAATCTCAGTTTCTGTTATCACTTCCTGGTGCCAGGCGCTCTTTCACTTATGTTTCTGAGTACCATTCGACCAGATTATACGACGGCCCACGCCTGGCCTATGAATGGACAGGTTGGCGCGATGGAGTCAGGTAGTTCAGGCAGTGGAAAAGGCCAGTGCGGCTAGAAGGTAACGGAAGCTGTACAACCTAATACGCAAAGCAGGGCCTGAATGACCTACCGTAAGTGAGTTGATCGGGAAAATGACATAAGAATAAGGTAATGTAGGGTAATGCAAGAAAGGAGAATCTCTGTGTTCCGCTTTGAACAGGTTGTTCATGCCCGTTTGGGGAAAAAAGCGTCCTACAGGTAATTGAAACTGGTTCCACCCGCGTTTAAACAACGCACATGAACCGACTCCTCCGGCCAGAGATGTGTAATCTTCGCTCCTGTAGTTACACTGCTAATAGCTTCCCTTATACTTGGACGTCTACCTTTGACATGTGGCACCCAACTCCGAGAGAACCAAACAGAATTTCGACCTGTCATGGGGTGTTTTGCTCTCATCTTTACACTGAGTCACATCCTTGAGCAGGGCCACTTATGCTGCCCACCAACAATCGCAGTTTCCCCCGACTTTTAGGGATCCTTCGACTTTTATGATAGATCAGTTCTGCTAAATATTCTTGACCAGAATGGGCAACGCTTGAATTTTGTAAACATTTACCGTGCCCCATATTCCCATATCTCCGATTGGGTTATGTTGACAGTTAGCTTCCAGAAGCTTTCTGACAATTAGTGGAGTTCCTCATGGTTGTCCCCTCTCTCCTTTTGTGCTCACTTTTGTCACTGTCGTCAACATGTAGCACACATACCCTGAACCTAGGTATCGAAATTACTTCAGACGAGAGATTGCTGGATCTGATTTATGCGAACGACGGCTCATTGTTTGACGTTTATATGTTTGTTCACAAAATAATTCGAAACAGAATATCGTAGGTCATCTCATGTTTTGGCACCCACTTTGGATTATTTATTTGGAGATTTATTTGGAGATTTGGAGATCTTATTTGGAGATTTGGAGATTTCCCATCCCCATGTGCTGAAATATCGGAATAATGGGCTTGGGTTTGTTGATCGGTCCACATACCTCGGGAACTGCAAAAGCTGTAATTTTAGTGTGACAGAGAGAGTTTCAAGTCGGATAACCATGGCTCCAGCAGCGTTCTTCTGCTTGTGTCGTTTATGGATTCAGAACCGAATTTCACTGAAGCTGAAGGGCCGTGCACGCACGGAAACTGTAGAGGCCGTCTTATCCCTATGGTGCCGAGACTTGGTTTTTCCGATTCATGAACCTTAGGCATCTTCAAGTGTTAGATCACTCGTATCTCCGTAGCATTGAAGGAGTAAGCTGGCTGAAGCGAATGCATGCAAGCATGTGCTTGATAATGGATCCGATTAGTAAGCTCACCATCGTCTGTCAAAGGAAGTTGAGGAAATGTTCGCGAGAAAAGGATATGACATTGCAACAAGATATGGAGGAAGATACTGTCATTCCGAGTGTTGTAGGACCTTTGTGCTTTCCTGGCTGGAGTCCAAGTGATCCTGTTTGTAGATGTGTGCAAAAACTGCAGGACATGGCACGCAACCGATTCTAGTGGCTCACAAGCTGTCGTTTCCTAGCTAAACTGCATAGCATTCCAAAAGGATGCTTGGTTGGTCCCATGGATGGTACACTAATTCGGCATGAATATCAAATGTATTTATTTTAATGCTGTTCAAAGTTTTAACAATTCTATTCCTGGTCATTTTCCTTCGAGACATAGGGATACTTTGCACTAAGTACTCACTCTTTCTTTTTTCTCCTCACTGTTTACTAATGCTCCCTTCCCCAATCATTTTATGGCGGTGTGATAACGGTGATTATGCGGCACTGCTGTAGACCGGTGAGAAAATAAGATCAACCGAAGTAGTTTATTGTGCCAGTGCAAGACACATTTTAGCCTAGGTTCCTCTGACAGCGGATGTTATATAATTCAGTCATTTAGACCGGTTTCTACAGCACTGTGCACTCACTGTGCTAATGTTGTGGGACAGTAAGTGTTTAAAGGATCCATAACTTCTGTTTTTGCCATCAACCAACTACTTAACTACTATGCTTGGCAATATTGCAACATGTTCCCAGATCTTTGCAGTACTTCCACACGACTAATGTCCAGCGGGCGGCGTAGATCTGCCACTGTTGACCGGCTTTGTCCGTGGACTACCCATGTTCAACTGCAAGAAAGCAGTGGCTACCAGGCAATCAGATGACACGTGAGTTCTTCAGAAGCGCACATGATCAGCGCATGATCACATGATCACATGATCAGGCCTATGGGCGAATTTTTATAACGAAAAAAGTTAGATTCTTGAGTAACGGTATTCCACACCATCGGTAGTCTCATCGGTGAACATATAGTAAAAATCAGGATGGTTACAAGGCTTCTGTGCCTTCAGCATCCTTGCCAATTATCTGGATAATCCGGCTCCTGCACCTGGGCTGTCAATATAAGATCACCCACAGTCGACAAGAAGTTTTGTTTTAAACGTTAGCTACTAGGATATGTGTTAGTAGTATGTAAAATGGATGCTGCAGGTTACTCACAGACCAGCTGTCCATCGGCGTCTGCACATGAGGGGTTTAACACATTAAGCCAGATACCCGATTCCGGAATTGCTGGTGCTTTTTCTTCACTCAATTTCTAAACCACACTTACAAGTTTAGATAAATGCACACTATTGGATGAGGACTGATGCCAGCTAGTTGTGCCGAAAGACCAGCATATGGTGAAAATCTACCTGAGGCATCAGTCATAAAAGGCATGACCCTTTACAGTGAGTTCCAAACGAGCTTGAAATGCTGCACAACTTCGCGTTATATCTAAGCGAGGTGCAGCGTTATTACCAAAATTTAAAACAAAGCGAAAAGTAGCGCTTATAACTGAAATGGAGTTTGTCGCACACATATAGAATATTCTGCACGGATGAATTCGCACATCCATGACATGAAGACCATGAAACTACTGATTATGGGTTTTCAGTTATTGCTTACTCTGTACCATTTTAGTCGAGCGACAAAACATTCTGATGAATTGTGAGCCGTAAATATCTTAATATAAACAGACGCTAAAAGAAGGGTTTTGGGGACGCAAAATGTCAGTGACAGCCTCATTATTTTCATCTGAAAACCTGACACGTATTACTTTGCTCACCACTCATTCTCATATAAACCGTAAACTGCGCAAACTTTGAAGAGCCTCGCTCAGCTGGCGCTTAACTTCAAAGTGTAAAGTGTGATGGTATTTTTGTCTTGTCGTCAGAAATCATGGGAGAATCACTGAAACTCTACAGACAGCCGATATCAGAGATCACTGTGCACATTTCGCTAACTTTGAAAGTGCGAAATTTTCGACCTTAGGTCACCGATACATAGATACCAAATGAAAGGGCCGTTCAGCTCTAAAACCCTTCCGGTGCCTAACTGCCATGCCGTGAGGACTGGGGTACTATCAGGTTGCCCAAGCCTAGACAGGGGAAATCGAGAGGCGGAGGTCGGGTTCGAACCACGGACTTTTCAGTCCGTACATCCGCGCTCTAACCAATTGAGCCATCTCGCCCCGCAGATACCAATACCAATAGAGTCACCCGGTTTCCTTCTTCTAGTTGGTCTAAACGTAAGGGATGACCTTCAAAAGACATGTACCTCAATTTTTTCCTCAAATATGGCTAGCCTTATTAGTCAAAACAGCACACTCTCAGATCCAATGTATTTAACCAAAAGATTGCTTATAAGCAAGTTTTCCATATTGTTAGAGCGTGTTTGCTTTTACAATATTTTACAGCAAATTATCAACTACAACTGCCGTGCACTGGTGGCTGCCGTTCCGTTTTTCACATTTGCGGACCAGAACTTTGTATCTGAAGTCATTATCAAGCTACGGTACGAAGTATTCCAACCTGGCGATCTGATCATCAAAGAAGGGACAATCGGATCCAAAATGTACTTCATTCAGGAGGGGATTGTAGACATTGTAACAAGAGACGGAGAGATTGCAACAAGTCTCTCAGATGGATCATACTTTGGAGGTAGGTGAACATAAGGTCCAACCGAATCCCACATTCTCCAACGTGGTAAATTTGTTCGTTCACTGTTCCTGAAGGATACATTAGAAATGTTGGACGGAAGGAGCAGCGCCAAATGTGAATGGGAAGAGGTCTTCAGCTACGCTTCTGATAACACTGTCAGTGGGCATAAAATGAAGTAAAAAGCTGCACATCCATTTTCAGGCTTCAGATGGAGCTTTCGAAGAGCTTTGAAGAAACGTATATGCAGCAAAATGTATACTGCTCAGATTCTGATCCCTTTGATCAACCTCAAGAAGCTAAGTATAAAACCAGAAGGCTAGAATATACTGGGTTGAAAGCGTCAGTGGAAAGATGATGAATATGTCACGTTTTGAGGTGGTAAGTTAAAAGTCTGACGTGACAGGGTGACAGTTCTCCAGAGAAACAGCCAAATCCACAGGCTTGCTTTCATTGTAGAGTGAGCAGTCTGTGTGTAAATAAGTCATACTGAGATTAGATAAAACGGTTGCTAAACCCTTTCGATTGACGGTTTTATTTGAGAAAAGTTATTCGGACACCTTAAGTTGTTACCTCTTATCATTTTCACTAGCGTGGTGAATCTGAGACCAATTAAAACCGGTCTCTGAGGATAAATAGCGACATCTATCGTTGAATATACAGTATACTGACGTTTGCCCGAATCGAAGCTCCTTTTAAGTAGTTATTGGACTATTACACTAGATTGCTGCATCTTTGTACTGCCCATTTGAAACCCTAATGATGTATCTCCCTTGTGACTAAAACCGTATCCGCTTCTGCTGTTTGCTCAGAAATCTGTCTTCTTACGAATGCCCGCCGAGTGGCCAGCGTACGAGCAGAGACCTATTGTAATGTTTATTCTCTGGATCGCGCCAGTTTCCTCGAAGTTTTGGACAACTACCCCCTTATGCGACGCACTATGGAATCAGTGGCAGCCGAAAGACTCAATAAAATCGGTCGGGATCCACTCGTGGTGAGCAAGCGGAAAGACCTATATGACGATCTGAAGTTGGTCAATGAGATTGTAAACCAGGTAAGAACAACTAAAAGCTTGTAGTTAGAACGCGAAATTAAGATTTACGTGTACGGATTAATTGTGCAGGGAATAAACTACAAACCAATGAGATCTTGTTAGATATTTGATGATAATCAACCACTTTGTAGGCAGTTTCTGAAGCTGTCCCGAAACGACGATTTGAACTGGCGCCAACCAAGTGCGATTACAAATGCTCCTCTTGGGTTTTTATAATGATACAATTTAGGCAAGTCAGGGAAGTTATCGGAACTTTTGTTACCTCCTACGCGACGACCAATCACTGTCATCTGAAAAGGTCCGTTCTGTAATAAACAACTTTCACACATGCACTTCTCGAATCCTCAAAACTGTTAAGAAAATTGTGTATTCCATTACGTTCCTGTAGTCTCCGAGTTCTCCGTCAGTCTGCACCGATTATCACCCTTTCTGTACGTTCACTTGGCGATTTGCTTAAATCTTGTGGCCAGCGTTGCAAGCACGTTTTTTGAATGATAATAATAATAACGGGAATGAACGGAACTAATAAAAATATCCAGTTGCTCGGATTGGTTGTTGACTTTAGTGGAATTTCACTGCACCACAGTAATGATACCTGAGGCCGTTTCTTTATTCTAAACTCATCTTTATTCCTTCACATCAGTTTCATACTCAGATTCAAAGCCACAAGACGCGAATGCATCCACGCCCTAGTCACAACCTTAACCTCAATTTCTCAACTTTGTTTTCCTGCTTAGCGCATCTCTTAGGACAAAGTAGCCAGCGAAACTGCACTCGCTGAAAACATTCTAGTATTCCCACAAAAGTCCATTAATTTGTCATAGAACGTCCAAAGCTGTTCGATTTCGTTTCTGGTGAAATCGATACGAAAACGGATAGCATTGCCTGTCGTTAATAATTATTTTGGGTCGGTGTGTCTCACGAAAGCACGGTGTTTGTCGCATAAATGCATTGCACATACAATAACAAAAGTTTCGTTTGCACATGTGCTTTCCACCGGTACACGTGACCTTTGGCCGAATAGCGTCTACATTGATTGCCTGCCAGCTCTTGTGGACTTTTCTAACATGAAATAATTATCCGCGTTCCATGACTCGTTTCACGTGCGGAAACTGTGCTCAGTCATCTTTGTAATGTACTACCCATAAGGTTGCTGAAAACCCGTCGACAGCCCACGACCGGTTTCGCCTTTTTGGGGGCTCATCAGTTAGGCGCAGTCTCCGGGTTTCCGTCAACCTTATGTTCTACTTGAAATCAAATTGCACGAAATTAGCGAATATACGCTCATTTGCAAACCATTTTTTTTTCGAGAGACTCATCTGGAACCCAGCTGAATCTCTCGTTTGTGATGTTTTCAGGCTCAGTCGTTTTTTCCTGAGTACCTGTGCCCAAAGAACGTAGAACGTGATTGTTGAAACGAACTAAACAATTCAGTGCTATATGACCAATTGTTAGTTTTTCTTACCACATAAAGTTAGGCCGATCCCAACCTTATATGTATTAAGACCGTTCCTAGACAACGGAAACACCTAACAATTACTTACTCCAAGTAGGTGGGCCGATAATCATACCATATTGCTCCTGTTGTTGGATACACAACGCACTGTAAACTCACTGGAACGAGTTTCCGACCTGATAAGAAAGATTTGGTTTTTCGAGAGACTCACCTGGAACCCAGCTGAATCTCTCGTTTGCGATGTTCTCACGCAATTAGTTCTTACCTGCGGCCAAACTGCAACATGTATCACCCACGCACATACCAGATAACCTCAAATTGACGAGTGGATTCACTCATGCATTGGGCAGCAGACGCACAATTGTGTAATTTGATCTGTACAACGAGTCCTTTGGATGTCTGTGTTTTTGAGCTTCTGGTTCGGATTCCCAACTGGGGTGTACAGTGTTCCGCGCACGCGGGAAGTTTTCATTTCCTGGGGCGTCTTGATTTCCCAAGATAAAAATGCTATCTGAGCACGCCTAAATAGCCTTCATGTGATTTCGAGAGATCTTTGAGGGAGGTATGGAACCTCAGAAAGTTTATAAATTATCTAGCATGTGTGAGTAAGGTTTACATTTGCCGAATCTGTTCTTCTGAATTACAGACAATTGCGGAGGCTAGTGACACTGAAGCGGAAGCTCCTGCCTGTGACGCGAAAAGACATCACCGTAAATTCCGTGCTCGACTCCGAAAATCACAGCACTGCCGTCTTTCATACAAGAGGCCGCGATTGTTTTCGGTAAGACGTAAATCCGTTCTACGTTCGATCAAGCGAGCAATTCAACATTTCCAGCCTAAAGTTCAACAACCGGAGTTGTACAATTCTGCCTCGCCAAAACGTTCCCCTGAAAAGAAAGATATTGAGAGTAGCGATGCTGTACCAGAAGACACATTAACCCCTAGCTCGGAGAGTTCACCCCAGGTAAACTGTTTTCAGCACAAGAAACATGACAGTCCCTGAAATGGCTTGGGTTTACACATTCCCTAATGTAGTTCTTACCTGGCAGTATGTAAAGTGTAGAAATTTGTATGAAATGTTGGCCATTAGATGCAACGAAAGTGCATTACTTTCAAACATAAACCGAAATTGGGACATCATGACCGAGATTTTGCGGCGAGATTCTATCAGACCATTACAAATTGTTTTCTGTCACTGCTCTATGTCATCATCCCTATTTTAATTGCCTCATCTTATTGACTTAATCCATGTCCAGTGATTTCTGTTGTTCGTGCAAAGTATACAGAAGAGATTATAAAACGTTTTTCAAGGAGTTACCTCTTCCTCCGCAGCTAGCATACTCACTCGTTGGAGTCGGTCTCCAGTGGGGTGTCAACTTGTGATTACCCACAGTGGTACTCCTCGTAGTTACGAAGGGTGACATCCTCAGCAGAAATTGCAAGTCCCGTTCTCGGAGGCGAAAACTCGGTAGAATGAATCACGGTAGTAATGCCATACTTCTCCCTCACACAACTTCAGTAGAAACTAATATTCTGGCCCTCGAGCACTTGGTAGACAGACTGTTCCAAACAATGAGGCGCCCTCTAGGAGTGTGAGTAGATGGCACCAGTAATCACCTTCGAAAAAGTGCGTGAAGTACTGAGCTCAGAGTTTCATTGAGTATCCCACAAAGTGCACATAACCTTGTGAAAGACGCTGCTTGTGGCCAACAGTTCCATAAAAAACATCCTCACCGGACACACATTCCACACAGTGGTGAGCAATTTCTGCTCACATTGGGACTATCTTTGACTGTGTCAGTTCAGCTTATCAACTTAGAAGTTTACTAGTTTACCTTATCAGCTTACCACGCATCCAGGTTACATTGGTCACAGCTGCTACAGTTCCGATCACGGGAAAATAGGACAGTGGGAGAGAGAGACAAACGCTGAAGCCAATGGCATAATCGAGCTACTCTGCATTGCTGCAATTGCTTTACTGCACGTGCGTTACTGACTGCTTGATTGATCCACTCTATTAACCACTAATGAGTTGAGTCTCGAGGTCCCCATCCAGGAAAGCGGTAGTTGACGACCTGAGTGAATTTACGGGCTAGTCTCTTCATACTTAGTTACCTGGTCGCACGCTGTTGACCTCTCGAACGCTTCCACGAAACAGAGGGTTGGGTGAAAACAGCTCCCGTAGCATGCAGAGTAAACGTCCTGACCAGCGAAACCTATGTAACGTGAGCAACTCATCTACCCTGGGGGAGTTCCTTTTTCCCAAAACCAACTGGCTACCTCACCGTCGTTAATCCAATGTTCCAACAGACCTGGCCAAAGCTCATCACACATCGATTTGTACGTTTCTGACCCATACAGAGGTATGTATCGAGCTGCTGCAGTGTATAATATGACCCTGTCAAACTAACTGACGCTACACTGGAGCGATGCATGTCGGGGGTTGGCAAAAGTCACCCTGACTTATCCGATCCGAGAAGTAATAACGTATTCAGCCAATCCATCGGAACTTATACGACTGTCCAGGTGAAAAAAAACAAAGTGACAGGTTTATGTTAGTGTGTTTGTTCCAATTATCGCTTACCTCATTCATTTCTCACTCAATATTTACACGTGACCTGAGCTTGGTATAGAATCTATCCACATAGCGTGGTATTCACCATGTATTGTGGGAGGACTGACGGCCTATCAGGGTAGTTGCCCAACTAACTTGCAAACCGGTTGGCCAAGCCACGCCCAAATAATCGGCTTAGCTGAGAAACAGTTCACCTCGATGGTTTAGGAAACTAGTTTCGGTTCGTGCCCAATACACATAATTTGCCTGTTCTTGGTTACTTTTGAATGTGTCTATAAAAAGCAACGTGTTCGATAAGAGTAATAAGAGTGTGTCCAAGCATTTGAAGAGTTGAGAAACAGTCATCTAACGCCGCCACGCAGGTATAGTCACCGTACTATCATCCACTGTGGGAATTTCCACATCCTTACGAATCTTTTCTCCCCGGCAACTTTCGAAGTTGTCCAGCGAATGAAAGATGAGGGACTAAAGCCGTTCCGAATCGGGGGAAATCTTAATGTTTCGCGGACTGTTCTGTAAGTAACTGATGCGGAGACTTTTTTCGCATCGCGTACTAGGGCAGTAAACAGGTGAAAATGATAAAGCCTGGAAAACGGATTTGACAGACGCGAAGAGCGATTATTGTTGGCTACGGCATGCTAGCCATGAACGGGCGTCACCTCGTGCTGAATCCGTTCCTCCACATTTCATCAGACAGTTAGCAGTCTCCATCATTCACGGGCATTCGTAAGGAGAAAACACATGGTGCTGGAAAGTTCTGTGACATAACTTGCTCCGCCTAAACAATAAAGTAGTTTCAACAAAAGTGATGGACAGAGCAGCCTTCTGAGACTTCCTTGAAAGATGAGAATCTATGTCCAAACAACACTTTTGGTTGATGCCGAAATTTTTTCCACAATTCCGGGTGTAGTTTATCATTCGATCCACCCACACCACACCGATAAGGTTCCTCTTAGACGGACATATAAATCGTACAAAAAAAATCGTGGCTATCAGGTCTACAAGCTTCCCGCATATGTATAAAGAGCATAGTCTGGATGAAGTATACGAGCGTTGATCGAGTAAAAACTCGAGCGAGAATCCCATGAATGATCATATTGACTATACGATTTACGGTATATCATGATCCGTTTGAACAAAACTGCGGCTGTAACAAATCGCCGCGCTGCTACGCATCTGGGAGATAACACAATACTCAGTCGTTACTGACCCCGTAATCGGACGTTTCAGTTCCCCTGACTCTGTTATGTCTCAGATTTTTAGCAAGACACAAGGGCGAGCCGAAATGAACTGGACATATCAGTCCGATATTCAGAACACAGAAAGCCCGTTAGATCTTTTACAGAAAAATGAGCCCCCCTCAAACAAGAGAATACCAATGGACAGTACGTTGATGACCAATCTTAAATTTGCTTGGCCAAATTATCGAGCTACTCGGAGCCTGTTGTTTATCACTAACAACGCAAACTCTGCACTGGTGCAAGTTTCTGGCTGCAATACCTGATCATCTATTCTCTGCGTTGCCCCATTGTTAGTGAACAGAAATACAGCGGCCTAAACCGCAGCATCTCGCTAGAGTTTGTAACCGATTAACACACGCACAGACAGACTGCCTACGATGTGGAACAATGTTTACAGGTTGCTGCCTTGATTAAACTGAAGTGGATTCCAACGGAGATTGTCTTTAACAATGAGATAATAAACAAAGCGACCAATATACCCATCCAAATAGTTGGACAAACCAATTTTGGCTTGGAGAGTCGAACCTATTGTTCAGACCCCTGGTCATAATAAGTTCCATTGTTCACGTTGAATTTCAAACAACCCACGGGAAAAAGTCATCACGAACGACCACCCTTCGACAGACCCGGACGGGATGCACTTTGCAGCTCCTTTTACGGAAAGGACACATTCAAACGATGGTGTCTTTTCAGCTAGCCCACACAACTCAATCCATGGTCACACAAACAGTGAATAAATAACTAATAAGGATCCCAAACTATGCGCCGGCATTAGTGAAATCCCCTCGACTTGCTCTATAGCCTAACGCGGTAGTTTCTCGAATAATACAGTACAGTTGATTTCCACCAGTGGCAGAAGACACATTGAGGCAGCACAGAATTCGGTGTGTGTCAAAACTGCCTCATGCACTTATTGTCTTCAGCTGTATTTTAGTTGACTAGGTGGCGACCGCGTTGCTCGTTGGTTAGGGCGGAGGCCGCAGGAACTGTCAACTGGGATGCGGGCCTATCATGACAACTCAGTTAGCAGTGAACGAAGGAAGGCCCCTCGCCGCGAATTCGTTTATCAGTAAACACCAACTAAACAGTTAGAAGCTATTGGGCAGGAAAGTAAACGTCTCCTATGCACATAGTTTTTTGAAAGCTGAACATTTTTACGCGTCTTCTTGTACCTTCATGGATATTCATTGACTATTATACAACTGTAAATGAACACTGCAGAGCAGATCCATAGTAAACTTCACCTTCCGTTAGACGCGGGGCGGAGATTTGACACTACCAAAGACTACCAGCATTTTCCATCAGTAGTATACGCCGTTACACCAGTAGGCATGACCACTGAACACATGGAAAAAATTTTCCAACAAAATGAAAACTCTGATTGATCTCTACTAGGATGTATTGAAAACATCTGGATGAAAATGAATTGTTGAGCAAAAGGTGACCGAGACGGTTAGTATCTGTCAACCACCCTCACAGGGGGAAAAACCATCTCTCAGAAACGTTTATCGACAAAAGAGCACGGTAATCGAACTGCGCGAGTCTCGATAGCATGTGAAGCTCAACGATAATGTCTTGAATGCTTCTGTCGTAAGCTACCGCAGTCGTTGTACCTCCCACGAGATGCCTGCCAGAAAGTTCTTGTCGAATTACTTCCTGTGCATAATACCGAGTCCAACTATTTCTTTCACGTAATAAAGGATGGAATACTCCGTCGTGTGAGCCGTCGAACAGTTGCGGTCACCGCAGTGCTGACGTAGTTGAAGAAAAGACCATATACATTCCGTCAGTATATTCAACAAGGCTGTTTGGGAGCAGTGTGTAGTGCGCTTGTCCCAAAATGCAGTATTCAGCCCGAAACCTACTGCCCTGAACACTCAGGGAAAGCCAGTTCATTCAAGCCAAGTCTTGTGACTAGCAAGAGCTACTGAGAAAGCTTCGGTGAGAAAAGTTGTTGCAACAGCCCAAAGCCCATGAAACACATCGTTCATTCACACTCTCTACATTCTTAAACCAGAGGCATTCCCTAATTTTCTTCCACGTTGAGCAGTTGAATCAGATTTTCCCTGTCTATGATGTGTTGCTTGGTCAGTAATCCACTTAGCAATAGAGTGACAATGCATTTCGTGGTGAATGTCAGCCATAAAGCCCCAGTATCAGTGATTTCAGCTCCGATACAAGGTGGAAATTTGATTGGAAGTTTGCGCAGTGAAGGTGGCAGGCCATGGTGTTGTAATGTGGTGAAAGAGCACTTTTTCACTTGTGCGGTACAGAAATAGCTCGGACCGAGCGGCTTCGCTTCCCTAGCCGTGGAGTCAGTAGCTGCCATCGATAATACGTTTGTTTGTGCCCCTTTCATGTCACACTACCAAATTCATTGTGCACCCTACAGACCGCTTCCGACTTTGTACTTGGTTCACCGGAAAGCTGAGGTAGACGGCTGTCTAACGCTTCAGGCGCGCGACCAAAACGGTTTAGCCATTGGAGTGTCATCAGCCTATCTACCGTGCGAGTACCTTCAAATGAAAACAAGTTAACAATTAATCTGATTTCCCCATCAGATGTAAAAAAAACAAAGGATCACGCACTCGGCCTATCAACATCTGCTCGCGGGGGGCCGATTTTTTGATGAATTGCAGCGTAGCATGGTAAACCCGACCACTTATAGACTGATGTCATTTGACGCCATTCATGTCGCGGTTTGGCAAAAACCGATTAAGCTTATCCGACAGAAGGGAAATCCGAACTTTGGTTAAGCCTACGGGACAAAACATATTTTCAAATGGCAACATTTGTCAGCCATATCGACTTCTGCGTATGCAAGCAACAAACCCAGGTTTAATATCACTCAAACTTGTAGCGACAGTTTACGTTGTCCAGGTAGTCACTTGGTTTGTCGATTAATTTGAAAGACTATCCATGGCCACAAGAGCCTCGAACAGTCTTATCCACTAATGATGATCCAGACACAGTATTAGCTATTCATATCCGTCCCAGCATCACATGACTCGAAAGTTACAAGCGTTCCTCAAAGCACTGATAATTGGTTGCAGTTCTACAGTACTCAGTCCAATAAGAATCATAACGCTCACATACGTCAGGTGAAGAAACGAGCGCCTCGAAAGCGTTTCAACCCGGGACACCACCCCGAATGCTAGCGAAGAATTTGCAAACCAGTTGCTAAACCCGGCGAACAGACCGACGGAATCTTTGAAATATCTAGCGAAGGCTTAGTCTACTAGTTATATTCAAATCGACAAACAATGCAAAGCGACATTAGGTGTGAAATATTGTCTCACTCAGTTAGACGGAAACAGGCAGCCAACTATGGACAATGCGGGTCTGCGTCCAATCCGGAGACCACCAAATGACAGCGTCACCCGTCAGAAGGGTGCTGTCATTTGTGAAACGAGGACATTGGCTAGTAATTTATGTGAAGTTACAAGGCCCGAAAGCAATTGCCTCCACGGTTGTCGGCACGCAATATCTGACTGACTTAGAGTAGTGACCCGACACGAAATGTGTTGGACGAAGCACATTGTTGACTGGAATCGATAAGGAAGGCTAGAATGACATTCATCATTCATTTATTCAACAGGGGAAACGACATTAGCACACCGAAAGCTCTCCCCATTAGACGATAATTGCGAAGATGCAAACTTTAACCAGCAGTTCTTGTGAACACCACATATGGTTTGACACTCAACAGCGCAACTGAGTTGCCCACAATTTATGGTGTGTTCGAGTAAACTGCATCAGGAACAAAGGACGTTGAGTAGAGCAACGGAGGGGCGCCTCAATGGAAGTCTTTTAAGATTAGAAAAAACAATTCACTCGCGTAAATCCAACAAATTGCCGGGTTAAGAAGGGTATCATCAATAGGCTGAGGTACGCCATGGGACACCATCCTTAGCTGCTGGATAAAAACATGCGGTAACAAGGTTCGCCTATAACAACGGAATAGGCCGAATGACTATGCCCAAGATGGGTTTGACCGCAAACAAGTTGCGCTGAGTGGCCAGTTTGATCCTTAAGTGGATCTATGGTCAACGTTTCAGTCAGCTCTGTGCCAGGCTAGCTAGCGACCTTAAAAGCGGACAACCAGAATGTTAGGTTAGGAAGTATGTCTTAGGCTGCGCTATGTCCGATTTAACAATCAATAGGTTGTCAGTTGCAACAACTTCGCTTTGATGGAACGGCCCAACCGACCCAATACCCAAACGGAGGCATTCATAAAAGATCAGTCAGCCATTGCCCGTTGCTTATCATGCTATGCACTATTGCTCACAATTCAGATAACAGCACGTGATTCATCGGCTTCCTGTGGAGTCTTTGAGGTTAGTTGATACGAAACAGTTGCATGCTTACCGATTCGGGTGCACGTGATAAGATCAACGTAAAATAAACTCTACTTTTCAATATGACTGAGGTTTTCTAAATCGCAGTATCTAGTATATTCTCTGAAGTTAACGAAAGCCTTATCCAGGTTTGCCATAACACCACAAGCTCAATCATACGGATTGGAAAAAGAGGAAGACCCTATGCGGGGGTTCGAAGGTAAACCTAACCGTTTGGACCCGGTCCACGCAAAATCGATTTAGTCAGCACCAGCCCTACTTATTTCAAATGCACTGAAGTTCAGCCTCTACAGTCGACAGTCATCCATCCAATAGCTAGCTTAATTTGTTAAAGCGAAGATCCATATGCGAAGATCCGTATTTTCAAAGCTTCATCAGTATTCACACCACCATCGCAAGCGAACTGATTAAAAAACATTTGCGGATATTATCCACTTCCGGGTCGGTCAATGGCTGTGTTTACACCATGAACAATTCGCAGGGAGCCGTGCGCATAGCTACCTGGATAGTATATGAAAAAAGTCATTCAGCAGTAACACCCTTCGGTGCCTAGCTGCCATGCTACCCGAAGGAAGCACAAGGGCTGGGATACTGTCAGGTAGCCCAAGCCTAGACAGTGGAAGTCAAGAGGCAGAGGTCGGGTTCAAACCACAGACCTTCGGGTCAGTAAATTCGCGCTCTAACCACTTGAGTCATCTCGCCCAGGGTAGTTTATGGCCCGATTTAAACCCGAGGAAATGAGAACGAATTGAGAATTGAGTGGGGTAGTTGCAAAGCTGCCATCATAGCTGTTAGGTGTGATTAGATCGCGCCCAGAGTAGACTAGTGACTCATGCTAGTGGTGAACCATATTCAGACTAATTTGTTGTACGGAAATTGTCTCCTGAAAGAGGAAGAGTTTTACAGCGCGATCTGCTCATAAGCACATTCACTATGCACCCATATGATCAACTAGGGTTGAAAGACATCCGGTTCGAGCAGAATTTCCGATCTGGCACCAACATGGGATGAACAATCCGAAAAGCCCAGTGAGATGAGGCGGAAATAACTAAACGGCTGAATCCAACACTGATGAAAACAAACTTGATACCGAAAAGTCCCATGTAAACGTTCCACGTCCTTACAGAGCCCTGGTAACCAACGGGATGTTAGCGGCCCACACGGGGTTCGTAAAACCTTTTCAAGTCTGGCACACATTGTACATCCATACTCTTGCGTGAGATAAAAGTCCTAGCAGCTTAACCGTGCCTTTTTGCATCTCTTCGGCTAGGAATTCGTGAAAATCTCGGTGAATTACGCATACACCTCGAAAATTTAAATCAGTAGGAAGTCGGTCTAATGACACACGGCATCCACATTAGATGGAGATCGAAAATGTCGATCAATCGGTTCCTTGATGATGGACGGATTCGAAGAATGAACATGCAAGGTGTTACTGAGATCGTTTGCACGCTGACAATAAGGACTTAGGGTCCAAGATGATTCACAAAACAACATATCTTTGTGCAAAGTATTCCCAGCAAAGATTGACAAATGGAAATGCACAGAATTTCCCGACTCGCCAACAGCTATCGATACCATAAGTCGTACTGAGAACACCTCATTTAGATTAAATTATCAGCCACTGAATTGTGACAATGTATGAATGATCCACAGCAAAGATTTCAGTTACTTTGTGAGCAAGTAGAGAACAAGGACTACATTTGTAAGGCGCTTGCTGTGAATAAGTGTTCGGAATGCGGAAAACTGATGAGAAGTTCGTTAAAACAATAACAGTAGCAAAAACAATACACCTGGTCATTAAGGATAGTAGACAAAATGATCAGACAGCCGTTCAGAGAGATGTGTCAAAGGTTTCGGATCGCGCTCGTCTCTCGATAATCATCGGTCTTTGGGCTTCACTGTCAGGTACATTAAGCGCGTCAAAGTAGAAGAGTAGTTGGTCATTTGCAACATGTTATGTGACCCTGCTTGTCCAGTGTTGGATCTGTACTGATAGGCGACACACCGTGCGACCACGGTAAGTAGAGTGACTAGGTCATGTACCGTGGATCCTTTGTAGTCCTCCTCTAAGATCCTGCACAATTCTTGAATAAACCAGCTACCAACCACGGAATTGCGCCATGCAAAATAACCTGTGAAGGGGAGAATCACGAAGAGATGACGGGAACAAATGGAACACGGATAAACTTCAAGATATGCTATGAGACAAGATAGTGCTGATGCTAGTAAACGGGTGGCAATCAGAGCTGAATACTTGCAAGCAATGAAACTTGAGAGGTTCCCCTTTGTGGGGCCATGTGTGGTAACTTTATGTGGTTCAAACCTAAAGCGTATTTTCCCAACGAAGCTCTCACACCATCAGGATACTTGGTCCCTAGAACAGACCTACCGCATTTCTAACAAAGTTCGTTCTCGGGCGAACAAAATGGTCAGCAGTGCTCAGAAAACCATTTGAAGCGAATGAGGGTGAGAAAAACGGGAAGACAGATACAGAAAAATATCGGGCCGCTTGTCGTGAGAGGGGATGCAGCACAGTCACTTGACTCTGTCAACAAGTGGAGCAGTCACGTGCTACATCTGATAAGGCATACACGTTTGTCACTCATTCAAATATTGAAGCTGGAAGTAGCATGAATATTTGTCCACATGTACATCAAGCACTAACAGACAGAGAAGACAAATTTCGAGCTGGATGTAACTAAACGACCTAGAAACAACCTACCAAACCTCCAACTTTCATCAGACTGAACAGACGTCTCCTCAAACGGTCGTTAGGCTGATCAGTTCGCTCGACGCCCTCACACCGGTTAACACAATGGTTTTGACGGTCAAGCAAGTCTGCCGCTACTTTCGAAATTACAGTCGCTATGTTTGCTTAAGTTATGGGAAGTGCTGAATCTTCTACTAGGGAACTTACTTTTGCGTTCGCCGCCTGTCAACAAATTTTGACTACCGTAGGCAATTAATTATTCAGGTACTTGTCTCAAGGTGCCTTTTTCCAGCCAATGAACAACAGTCTAGCAGCCGATAGATGATGATAGATGAGTCCTGGTCTAACAGGGTTTTCTGTGGGCACATATCTGTCAAGGTTGATAAATGCCGAATGCGGTGGGCTGAATTCTGTCAACTAGTCCGCAGAATCATGCAGAAAACAGGAAGATAACTGATAGTCTGCACAATACATACGTGGACAACAAAGAAGGGTAGTTACCTGGCCTAAGTCAGGGTAACAGGTTAGAACGACGGTGCGTCTCGAAACAGATATCAGAATCGGCGTGAACCATTGTACAAGGCCCAACAAGGGCTACAAGACCTTCCAAAGAAGTTTATACACTTCCAACTCTCAAAGAGGTGAAGAGAAGCGGACACAACAAAACTCATTTGTTCCAAATGAAAGGCTTCATGAAGACGCCAGCACGAACATACAAATATGTGGAGATTCGGGGGATATCATCCACGATTTGCTAGATAAGATGCGCTTTCGTAGCCCCTCTAGAAAAATCGCAGTCAATGTCGTTGTCATACCTATCCCAATCGGGAAAGATGGCACTTCAAAACGCATTCAGAAGGAATTTGGCTCTACTTCAATTAATTTCATAATAAGCTTAAACACCATATGCATGAACGTAAATCAGTCAGTTACAACCAGAATTGTTTCCGTCTGAAATGATTACCTGAACGGACCAGCCAAAAGTTGCATCCTCGGGTTAGGAGAACTACATCTGGGTGCTTGCCATCGGATAAAATGCGCGAAATGTGAGTTCGGAAGGGTATCGAAGTGTGTGTATGTTTGCAACCTCCGCCTGAGAAATTCTGCGTTCCCTCGAAACGCATAAAACACAGCGTGGGTTATTTAATCTCTTACACACGCTTTATGGTAACCATAATACATCAGGAAGGAACGAGAGTAAGGGGAGAACGGCAGGTATAAAGAGCATGCTGATCGATCGCCTACCTTGATCTCAGAGAAGGAACTGAAGGCACATTAGCAATGCCCATTCCATAATTATGCTTCATATGACAACCTTTCCAATATTCACTACCAAGTGTCGCTGTTGGGACACGCTAATCTGAAATGTTGGAAAGCTATATGCAATCAGGTTGAACGACCACACTCAAGAAACCGTAAATGCAGTTCGAAATGCACTGGCCAGATATTCTGCCGAGCGTGAGAAGACGATGAGGCAGACAGTATTCCGTTTATGTTTGATCGTCGGGTCGTTATAAAACAGTGTATGAAGAAGCGATTTGTAGGACAAACGGTAAGTCGTTCAACCCTGACACCCTCCAGGTACAGACCGAAGGAATCACGAAGGTAGAGGTAATTGTACGGTACTCAATCTAGACAAGAACAATTGAAAACTACTAGATGGATACCAAGAAGCATTCAGTCTGGATATAGCGTCTTAAACCCTTATCTCGAATAGTGGAATAGTTTTCCTAATATACGGTGCTATACCTAGTTGATAAGGAGATTGATAAGGAGTTGATAAGGTGATTCGCTTACCAGGGACAGTGGAATGGGCTATCAGAATGTCCGCCTCGACAGGGAGTTTCGTGATCACCACATCACCGACTGCGTCCGTGGCCAGAGGGATGGCTGCACCCTTGTCAAACTGAACCCCACGACAAGCCTTCAATCAAAAGATACAACACAGTAGAAATTCAATAGCAGTGGAGTGCAGATTGCAAGTGGTGTCATAGAGCCTCCCTCCTCTGCAAGATTTTAAAGCACAGGTACGTCAGAAGGCATAGCAGGTGAATATGATTTACAACAGGAAATCCTTATTTCTGGTTTCGGCGATTGGAAAAAGGCAGGAAAACGGTGGGTATTAGGAAGTATCAAAGTGTGATTGTTAGGGGGGAGGAAAAGGCTAACAGACCAGCTAAGAATGATAGCTTGTTGCGAGCGACAGATTCAACACAGGCTAGTGGAGTGACTGTAGATTTATGAGATGTGCACAGCTGAAATTAGTTCAGAAGCGATGAAACATCGCGACGACGAGATTTGACACTGCAAGTAAGAGGCTACGAGGAGATGCAGTGGGTACGATTGAAGGTAAACGGAAAGGTCCGACTGCACACGTGATAACACAATTATCGGGTGAGTTAAATCAAAGGACGGGGGTTAGAAGAGACTAAAAGAGCGCAAAGAAAGTAACCTAGTTTCTTGGACTCGCTTGTAACGATTAGTATGACATGAGTGGATGGGTTGTCGACAAAGTTTGGATCTGGAATAAAGAATATAGGCTACACTAAGACGAGTTTGGTGGAAATGTGAAATAAATATGAGGGGATCTGGAAAATTGGAACCCCGTGTGTTCGTACAAACCCAACCACAAATCTATCGACGTTGTTAACAGTGGTAGTGGTTTTCATTCAACAGCCTGGAACTCGAAAACTCAGATGCTCAGAAGGATAGAATATGGAGTGAGGGATAGAGGGCGTCGTGATCGAAAACTAGGGGGCATTACAAAAAAAGGCCTTTCACACATGACGAAAACGGGCTGAGGAAAGAATGGACTTCGGAAACCCCTGCACTGACGTTTCGGCCCTAAGAAAAAAGCTCCATAATTCACCTACAAACTGATCGGTTGCTAAGAGACTTTATAATCCCACTTTCTAGCACTGGCCATACGTCGGTAGTTTGGAGGGATCAATGTTCTACACCTGATTTAAATATCACTCAAGATGGCAAGTGATATCACTCCCACCTTACCAAATTTGTTTAGCGCGAAAGATTAGTGGTATAATCCAACCGGTCCCAGTGCAGCCATTGCGACTCAACCAATGCTTGTGATCACTTACTAAGACAATGCTGTCTAGGTTGCGCACTAGCTGCTTGGTCAGCAAAAATTTTGCGGCTTTGAACAGAAAGAGAGTAACAAGAATCGAGCGAGTTTTCGGAGCTTGTTACAAACGATCAAAGCCTAGGATCATGAAGAACCGAGTCTAGTTCCTGGTAAAATGGGAAAGTAGCCACAGAAAATGATAGATTATAAAGAGGAGCAATGGTGAGAGCTAATATGGGGATTCAGAGTATGGGAAGTGAAGTTGGTGGTGAGGAAGACTCAGATTTGTTGAGTGCTACCAGCAAGGCACGAGATGGTTGACACTAACCCACGGACAGCTTGATCTTTGACGGTTGAGTAAGTAAGCCATTCTAAGTCGTGAACGTTAAGTTCACAAGAGTTTAGCATTGGAGTCGCGCCGCAGAGTATTGTAGCAACAGATATCCAGTAGGTGAAAATTTCAGAAGTTTCATTTATTACTTCTGTAAAAGGATAACGCCAACCAGAAGACTGAAAAATGGGTGCGAGCAAATCGAACGAGGAGATTATAAAGCATAGGTGTAGGCACAGCCCCATTCTAGAGAAGGAAGGGTCAAACAAGTAATAACTCGAGGACTGCAGAATGGTAAAGTCGCCAGCTCCGGAGATTTGCGCCTCGGTAAGAAATAAGACCGAAGGAAAGGGGGAGAAAAAACTACCGAACTTGTGTTCGGTAAAACGAGATGGCGATGAAGGCATAGCCAGCCTACTCAAACGCGGTCGTCACAAAGGTCTTCAACAACCTGGACAGTGAATATTCCGAAGCGTGCCTGTCACAGAAATCCTGACTAGATGCCAGTGACGTAAGATGGTGCCTGCTCTTACATACATCCACTAATTGCTTACGAGATCGACAAGCCAATCCATCAGTCAGTAACACCCCGCACGACTGTTTCGCCTGAATGATTATGTCCACTTGGGCTGAAATATGTATCAATACCAGAAGTGGGAAACGCCCAACATACAAGCTTAGACGATCGCATGGCAGAGTTACGCCATCCTGGAGAGACACTGACAACTAGAGAGGAATTTTAACTCCACTTCACAGGGACAACTCATGATCAACACGAAAGCCCCAATTACTACAATACAGAAGACACAACGGGGATTCTGTCTCCCCAAATGGACTGCGTGTACGTGAGTTCTCGCTCAAGAATAACCAGTTTCCATTCTCCCTTACCTAATCATAATATCCAACCTCCCGTAGTCTCGTATCAAACGTAAACCAGCAATCATCATCAGCATCATCATCGACAGCATGACATCAATAAAGATGCTTCACTACCGTAAAAAAAACAGCGAAAACTAGGCAGATGAGAGAAAATTGTTAACTAGTAATTACATGCGTAGTTTGAGTAGCTCACAACATCCATAATGGTAGATGATAGTAGAAACTGCCGCGACCCACTTGGATGAAAAACAGTTTGGGCTTTCCTGTAAGGGTAATGCATTGGTCTCCGCGAAAGTTGGCAATCACCACATCAGTGGGTACAGGGCCGTCCGTAGCATAGATGACCCCGTTTTCACCATGACTGAGGATCACGCAAACAAAGCTGTCGAACTGGCTGTGGTCGTATGTAGCAGCTGAGCAGGAGAGAAACGGGAATTGAAAAATGATCGAAAAGTCAAACAAACTAGGAGCAACAGTAAAAGGCACACCGTGCTTTTTTTAGTAACTGGCTGGTAACAACACCTACAAAGACCTTAACTAAGGACACAGTCAACTGTCTTGAAAATCCTAGCAGTATATTTGGGTCTAAAACTTCGGTCTGGAGCCCTCCTATCTAAGTTTACATTCCCTGTCGGTATCTCAATACTTTACAAACAGACGCCAATCGACGCCTTTTCAGCAATCACGTCGCCTTACTTGTTGCAAAAACATAGCTAACGTCAGCCTTCTTACGTTTCCACGTATTTCTGGCCCAACTCCATTGAGACCCATCTAATCCCCTCGCCCATTCCCATCGGATGCTACTATTGTTCGAAAGGCAACGAGTTGTCTTTGTTCTCACAATGGATTTCCTCCGAGGTAGTCTATGCTGTCTATTACAAATATGCATTCTGGACACAACTAGTTTGACCATACTGATTGATCCGTCACTCTTTATCCGTTCCTGTGCACTTCAGATGTCACAGAGATGGCTGTAGCTGGATATGACGTGCTCATGTTGTATTAAGCGATCGAGAAGCAGCTCCATTTGACTGGATGTCAACAACTAGTCATCTCCACGACAGGTTCAAGAACTGTGGCTCTCGGTCTGCCTTAGAGTTTCTTCGGCGCCTTATGTAATAGTTTACAACCCGATGAAAGACCAGGTATCATTGTAATTGCAGATGAACTAACAAACAGGTAGGCCTGGAGGCACCACAGGCGCAGTTGAGTGTACACTATGTGCGACACACACAAGACATAATACCTATTGCAGTTGCGCACTTACAGATTATTCCTTCGTAATACTTTCAAGATAGTGGAAATCGCCTTGCCACGGGATGGAACGAATCAGCTCAGAATCAAAACGCAAAACCGCCATCAGTTGTCGATGACCAGCGTTGATCACCACATGTCGCTAATGCTGATGTACAACCTAACTTGCCTCACTCAACCATTGGGTCCTTGAGAAGACTATGGCTTTGTTGGGGGATTCTCCCATGTAGCTAGCACATTTCAAAACGACGTATCATCATACACCATGCAAAACACAGCAGGTGGAGCTCCGGATTCCTAGTGGATCCACAACGCAAAAAATGCCTCCAATGACCGACGCGTGAGGCAGACGCCCGGAAACCTCTCATCAGTGAAAACACCAAGGACCACATCTGATCGGACAATACTGTTGAATAGTCCGATTCGGAACTGGATGGCTATTTGTACAGTGCTCCTCCTCTAGGGCAAACATTCGAGAGGAGGGGGCGTTGGTCAGACCCCGTTTGAAAGTTTTCGTTTCTAGTGTGGTACATAGCAGAAGTTAATTGAAGTATTGGATTAGGTGGTCTCAACAACACGGCGAATAGTCGTAAATAAGGTACCTATTTAGTCTAATAGTTAACAAACACACCTATGGAACCGTGAGATACCGTACGTCTGGTTAGACTAACAAGCGACCAGGCGAAATTGATGTGCTTTAGCCAATGAAGTAAACCGACAGCTCATCGACTGTATCTAACTGAATCTGAAGACCTACTATCAAGAATGACGTTTAGGGAAGTTGGGTTGGCTTGAGCTGCGCGGGATTTAACAAAGCCGGTCATCCTCGTATTTCCGTGGAGTGTGAAGTTACGCACACATCCCAGCAAGATAGCTGACAGACGAGGTAGCATGGGAGGTCTACAAAATAATCAAGCGAATGCATGTTGTTTGCGGTTGTCGTAGGTGTTGGAAAAGTGGCCGCCTAGGGTTAAGGAAAGTGATTTTCCGGCGGTATCAATTTTCTCTCGGACATACCATTTCGGAAATCGTCGTCGACCGGGGAGAGGTCACCATAAGAAGGCGACATGTACCAGAAGGTGGCACGTACCACAGGCAGATTCACGTGGTTTTGCGGTATTAACGGAAAAAGGAGAGTATCACACACCAAACAGATTCGCTTATTCGAATGGTCAATCAGTTTCTTGGAGCCCAATCATTAGCCAAGCCATTCAAGACAACCCAATACTTATTCTATCTGTTAATTAGACGATTCGAGAATACAACAGTTTGCAGGAATAACCTACCTCAAACAGCCGTGCTATCAACCAAAGAACTACGGACGGTTTACGACTTGACCTTACAAGGAAAGTGAGATTTGAAAAATTGTGAACCACCATTTCGCTGGTTTCACAGTGCTTATAAGGTGATAATAAATAACCGACTGACAGCCAGCCCTTAACCAGAATACCCGGAACGAACATAAGCTGAGGAATGTCAGTAGTTCAGGCACGGTCACAATTCAAAAAATACATCCAACTGCCACAGTTTTCCACCAAAGATGTAGCAGACGTTAACTCTCGCGCCACTAAAAACGCCCGCCTCTGTATGTTCCTGAGGCTCTTCAGCATATGTTGACTTCAATAACAGGACGGAATCTTCAGTAAGAAATTCCCAAGTCTCCTCACACTAACAACAGTGGTTGATCCGATTCATTGTGAACTAATGGTGTATCATGTCTCATCTTTATGGACTGTGGATCATGACGCCTGCAAACATCTGGTTCCTAACCGCTTGTTGGTCTCTTCTCCAAACCAGTCGAGAGTACACTGGAATTTACACAGAACTGTACGCAGAATGTTATTGACAAAGCAAAAGAAAGTCTTAAAATGGTAGCCAGTAATTATACTGAAATTCAGAGCGCGTAACAGTAATATAGGTTGAAGACAGTGATTAAACCGTGACATTGCTTTGTGACCAGACCAGAACGATTATGAGCACTAATCAGTCTTATCTCGTCATACCTAGCCCTCGAAAAGTAGTGAAAATTGCTCTATTGTGTTAGTCTACAGACCTTGTCAGATTTGAGTGGTGCAACCGAGTCTCCTTGCTCTATGAGTGTTGACGACTTCACCAGAAAATCTGACGAATGAATAAAAAGCACAGATTCCGGCAGCATTCCCGCAAATATCTGGACTCCACCAACCCCATCAAAAACTACTATGTGTTGAAATGTTCTCAAGTAGTGTCAACTTGAGCTGAGTAAGCTCAGTACGTAAGCTGACCACTCATTTCACAGATACTTTGGTTGGGTTGCGATGGAATGGCACACTGTAACTATACCGAGGTTTAGTGGCCGAGGTTTCAGACAAGACAGAAGACGTTCATAAGCAGTGCAATAATTAGATGTTTAAACAACAGACTTTTACTTCATCCCCAGCTCTGAGCCCAAAGACCACTTTTAAATCTTCAAACAGGCACATAGTAGTTGAACAGTACCGTTGGCAGCAACGTGGGATTCAAAGTGGAAACTGAGAATGTACATCTTGGAATCGGTGGGCGGACAAAAGAATGTCTGCATAAATGTGTGGTTTGGGTAACCTTAAACTGCCAAGGATGCAAGAAACAGATAAAGATGAACCAACTGCGAAACTGAGAAGAGCTCAATACATGAAAAGTTGGAAAATCACTCACCGTGTAGGCGCTGTAGGTGCATGTAGAAAATGGTTTTAAGAAAAAAGGTGCATATTTTATTTATAACGGCCGATAAGATTCGTAATGCACCGTCAATGATAGGTTGGACATATTTTTTACGTTAGATGTGTATAGGAATCTCAAACGAAATAAGGCGATGAACTGATCGTCCGTTTGCCTTTTGCCTCAGCAAATTTAAGTTCAGTAATTATTTATTTTCGCACGACAAGTCACTAGGACACAAGGAATCCGCAGAGAAATATGTCGGTTCCAAAATAATGTGCGAACGCGAATAATTATAGTCGAAGCCGCGCTGGAACCTGTTCAGAAAGGCGAGGTTTAGTGCGGTTCTCGTAAGTTTGGCATGCGCTTCACATCTGCAAGGTATGGAGTGAGCCGATTGAGGTAGACAAAACTGTATACCTGGACAACTGTATCAGTTCCGGCGGTCTAGAAAAGAACGATATTTCCATTCGGACTGGAAAGGTCAGAGCGGTTTTTGTGAACTTGCATCACCTATGGCGTAGGTGAGAAATCAGCTTATCAGTCAAGGGTCCAGCTAAAATGCATCTATATGCACCACACTGTTATGAGTTAGAAGCCTGGCCACTTCGCGACGAAGACCAGCGATGACTATGGAGCACTACCATACTAATAATGCTGAGGTACGTCGAATGGTTTTCGTGAGAATGAACCCATCCACGATAGATGTGCTGATCACACTCCATAGATTGTGCTAATTTTGTCGCGTGTGACGTAAGCAGGTCGGCCTACTTCCCCAAAGAACCCTTTGGCACAACAATGCGAAGGGTGGAAGAGAGTTAAAGGAAGTCAAACAATGACTTGAAGGCGAAAGCGCAGCAAACTTAGCTGCGCTTCTCATTGCCGTCTTGTGGAATGAGGAAGTGAAGATACATCCCAATGGTTGAAAACATTGTCAGATATGGCCCAGTTGCACGCTTGCGCATGCATCCAAGTTACTGCTCTGTGAACAGCAATTCAGAGGAATGACGCATCAGCTCCAGTCCATACAGCTCAAGTAAAGCAATACCCTCAAGTTCGCACACAGTCCTGATAGAAATCCTCTCGAAAATGTGCAGAGCATAGTGGCTCGATGTGTACACAACGGTCACCAAATATCTGGTATTCTAGAACTGAATAAAATAATCCCAGATAAATGAGAATAAATAGCGCTGCCTTTCATTGGTCGAGATGATGAAGATTGCATATCATCGGATTATGAATATAAAAGTGCAACTTGACCAGAATCTGTTAACCACATTGGGGTCTAGTGGTGATTATCAGAGGAACAGAGAAAGGTCATCATTGTGTAAATGGCAGTCACACAAGTAAGGGTTTTGACAGGGGTGAGGTATGGCCAAATACGTATGAGCATGTCTGGGGGCTTACCGTCGTGAAGTAGACGATGCAGTTTATTTCGATTGACATTCAGGTATCGCTGCACATTATAGCCGAGCATTTTGAACAGACGCTCTACACGATCAGCATCCCTATCTGTGCCCTCGCGACATGTCTGGCCAGTTTCTGGTGAGAAGTCTTTCTGGTTTATAATCAAACAAAGACCTCGGTAGATCTGCTTAGACAATATGCACTCTCGAATGGGATAGTGCAGGGTTGGATCGGAGATTTCTGTCGGTGATAGCTGGAATATTGGGTTCACCTGCGATGGGCTAACCTCGGACCTGAAATTTGAAAAAATTACCAGGGGTTGAGACCGGTCATTACGAAATAAATTGATGGTAAACATTGTTTTAAATAACTTAATTTAGTAGGAAGCCGATGCGTTCATTTGAGAGGGTAAGTAGCCTAAAATTGGATGACATCAGAACGTAAACCCAATTATGATTGACAATAAGAATAGTAGACACAGGACAAACAGAAACCAAATATGATTACCGGCCTAGTCCGTGATTCAGATACTAGTGAATATACAATGAATTACATCCTACTTTATGTCCTAGAAATCTGGTCAACGTGTTTTCCGGACCGTCGGTGTTCAAAGAACACTGGCAAGACATGCTTACAAACTCCTACAATGAACGAAGATGTCTGTCGTCGGCTGAATAGAGCAACAAGTCCAACAGCGTTCACTCGATTTGGAACATGTACTCCAGTCCTGATACCAGTGTCCAGAGCAACGCATACTTCTAGGCCACTGGCATCGTCGTTTAGTAGGTCACAAAAAAACCTGGATTATCACTGTTAGGTTCAGAGTTGAATGCCATTGTGTAAACTTTTGACTGCATTCACTGAGCTAACCAATATCAGATCGATATTTAAAAAAGTCATGCGACTGACTAGTATACGCAAGGAACCGCAATCTGGGGACGTTAAAAATGTAAAGCCATTCTCAATGGAAGGGAGCTCAAACCAGGTAAGTACATTAGGGTAACGGAGTTGGCATGGATACATCGTATTACACCGTTGCATGCTCGAACGGAATCTTCCCCGGAAAGCGAAAAATGCATCTTGGGCCACATCTATGGAAGTCACCGTCCCATTAGACTAATATTTCGAAGAGATAACCTCAAACAAAACTTTTTCACACAAGAGTTCATCCTAACCAGAACAACGTGCACATGGTGACATATGAGGCAGTACACTATTGATTAAGAGTGTCTACTGTCTGTTGGAGTTGCTGAAATTGCCGGTGGGATGTAATGAACCACTTTCATTTGCACATAACTGACAACTGAGCTGAATAAAACTCTAGTAATATGGAAACCGGTGTGGAAATGGTCAACTACTAGACGGAAACTAGCATATAGATTCAAGAACCGTGAACCTCATATCCCACCGAATGAGCAAGCAAATACGGAGAAGAAAGTGTACGGTACAATTTAAGGATGCTTATTGATATGGGTATGGGTTGGAACAACCTGGAAATACCTCAGCCCCGTGCTTCCTTCGAGTTACGCAGCACCAAAGGGGTGACACAGCAGAAAGGTTATCATTAGCGTAATTACCATCATTATCACTACTATTATGTCGCCGGTTGACCGCAGAATCAAAGTTCGGGTAAGGAATTTCACGGCGCGTGTTTGACTTGATTAGTTTGGTGGAAGTCATCTTCAACGCCGAAAAGCATGTCAGTGCCCCAAGAGATACTAAGGCGGTCCCATCACGTGCTCTAAATGACCGTTTCACCCGGGTCGCCATGCGATTAAATGCATTTCATTGAAGGTTTGTGTACATTTCGTTGCCGCTACACCTGCAAAAACATGAGCTGAACATTTACAGCAGAATACTGCACTAATGGATCATTAGCCATGACTTGGTGTACGAAAACCCTCTAGGAAACATAAACTAATACAAACGCATCTGACACGGGCGTAAATTAGGTCCAATGTCCAAAAACACATGAGCAGATGGGTCAAATACACCATTAACGGACATGAACGGACATCACAGGTATCAGTAATCCAAACATACAACTTACGTATATTGAAGCTTACTGTCTGTCCCATCAGTTGACATCTGAAATGAAACAAAATGGACAGTGTGTACACCACTGCGTCAAGCCGCATTTAACAGTCAAAAATTTCAGTATTTTAGCCGCAGCACCTCTTCGGTACCCAGGTGCCATGCCACCCGAAAGAAGCATGAAGGCCGAGATACTGCCAGGTTGCCACGCCTAGACAGGAGAAGAGGTCGGATTCGAAAAGCGGACTTCCCGGTCAATATTTCACGTCTTAACCACCGAGCTATCTCGAGACAAGCCGCATATAAAGCAAGGGAAACAAATCTCGGTTTCCATGAACCGGCTGATATCTACCATTTCCGAAACCACAGTTCACTAATAACCCCCACCCTTTCCCTTCGAAACGTAACACTGTTCGATGGTTGATGATCGTGGTTAGGATTTATCCGTTGCACCTTAAATGCCCCTGTCTAGAGACATAATATTTGGAGACCACAAAACTCAAGTTAATCATGGACCTAATTGGATTATGTAGCCGTCAGCTACAGATGAAACCCCAATTTAAGATCGGCGAACCATCTGTGGTATGCAAATTAACTCCAATCCTACCATTGTGAAGGCTCAGCTATCTTTCACTCATGCCGAAGTAGGGTAATTCCATTCAGCTTCATCGGATCCCAGTAGCTCAAAAATATCGAACTGCTGTGGTTGGAAAGCTATCAGAAAGGCAGTAACGATGATGACACGGTTTGGTTAGAGGACAAAATGTGGGTGAACGAAGTTGTGTTCTCAGGTTTGGGGCCGTCTGCTCAGGCCACCCGACTAGACTAAATTAATATTGGATATTTTCGAGATTATCAGGTCGTACTGATGCCAGAAATGCCATACAAGCAACCAGCGATCATGATGGCGCACGAAGATAGCTCAAATATCGTATATTTAAGAGCCTTGTTGTAGGGAATGATGGAGTGCCAAGTTCCAGAAAATAAATGATTTCGCAGTAGGTGACGGCTGCAGCCCACTTTGGCTGATTCGACCAACCGATCAAGAGAATACAGATGTCAGCGAAACAATTTGCCAAAAGGATGGAACAGCAATTCACTAGCGATTCGGCAGCGGTAATTTGTCTTCAGCGGTGGGCTGCAAACGTTCGATAACAGTTCAGCTTTCCTCCTTCAACACCATATCTGGAAGTACCCAACAAGCGTGAATGGAACATTCACACCAGCCCATCACTGGCAGCAGATATGCAGCGCGAGATATCCTTCTTCCAACGCGACAAGGCACTTGGTCCGGATGGTCTGCCCCTTGCAGTTTCCAAATGTGGTGAAGCCCTAGTAAGCAGTCGGATAACCCTACCACAAGATTTACGATGAAAACAGGAGATCAGTGGAATTCAGCATTTTGACCGCGTAACCAATCATCCAAACGGTGCGAAGATGTTATGCGAAGACCACTGTGGCATCAGCCAGGTAGCTATAGCATCCAAGGTGTTCTCTGGAATTATTTTGCGCACGTACACCGATTATCGAGAAACATTTGCGAAAATCCAATCCTGGTCCTCCATGTTGGGGATAGCGACTTGCTCGTCAGAAATCTAAGCCATTCCAACCCGACCTAAAGCTGTCACCTTGACGTGGTGGTCGGGCTTCAGTGCTGCAATGATCCCGCGGGCTACACTGGCTGGAACTTCGTTCCACAAGGTGCAACGATGCCAGGAAGGCCAAAGGGGAGCAGCCAGACCAAGAGCAGCGAGACCCCGTACTACGAGTAATCGTGCTACGAGGCGGTCTGGGGGTAAAGTCGTA